TCTCTCTCTCACACACACACACACACACACACACACACACTCTCATCTGTCAGTGAGTGTGCTGATCTGTGTTTGCCGTGTCTCAGGGAACATCCAGGTGTCGTGGATCGATGACACGTCGGCGTTCGTGTGTCTCAGTCAGACGGAGCAGGTTCAGATAGGTGAGACTCTCAGATCCGCTGCTCTGCTCCAGTGTGAGCCGATCGTCTGCTAACGTCTGCTGTCTGTGCACAGCCATGAACACCAGCCGCTACGCCGAGAGCTACCGCATCCAGACCTACGCTGAGTACATGCAGTCCAGACAGAAGAGCACACACACCAGCAGGAGGTGGACTGACGACGGCTGGGCGGACACTTCCTACAGCGCCGCCTCGGGCTCCAGCCGGTGAGTGCCACAGAGTCCCTCAGACGCGCCACACGAGTCAGGCAGTCATGTGACCATACGAGTGTGTGTGTGTTCAGGCTGCAGGCGGTCAAGAGGAGCATCAGTCCGTCTCTAGAGGAGCAGAATCACGACGCTGACAGCAGCTGGACAAACTACAGCAGCGTCAAGAAGATCAAGACCGACGGTCAGTGAGTCTGCATTCACAGACAGCTGTAACTGCAGCGATACCATAACTGCATCCACATCAACAACTATAACCATAACTACAGACATAACCGTAACAGCTCCATATCAACAACCGTAACTATGGCAATAACTATAACAGTGTCCACATCAACTATACAGTACACTATCACTATATTAGTGTCTACACAAACACAACCATACCAATTATAATATTAGCATACACACCAATAGACACATGTACAACGTCAGTAATTACTAACGAGAACTATGTCAGTCAGTGTATTGGCGTCCACACAGATCACTATAATTGAGCATTTAATAAAACTATGGTAACAGTAATTGTTCTTGCTGTCTTTTCAAACCTGTTTTTCATTAACATGAGATGTTTAATTTCGTTTGTGTCACAGGAAGCTGCTCGCAGACGTACGCTGATGTCGCTGGCTCCTGTGATTGGCCCAGACTGCAGTAAGTGCCCCGCCCCTTTAACTCACTCACATGATGTCATGACTCAGTCTGATTGGCTGCTGTTTGTCCAGGCCTGATGAAGGCGGAGCCTCTGTGAGTCCAGTGCAGGAGGAGGCGGAGCCCGAGGAGTCCTCAGCCAATCAGAGTCAAGGTAAAAGGAGCCGCAGACACAAGAAGAGGAAGTCAGACGGTGAGCGTTTACATTGACGTACACCGCGTAACTCTCGTCCGCTGAACTTGACTGTTTGTTTGTTTGTTTGTTTTCTGTCGCACAGCTTCTGAAACTACGCCACCGGCGCTCTTCGACGTTCCTCAGGTTTGGTAGCGAAGGCTCGGCAGCCAATCGGAAGCCTCGCTCAGTCTGGGTGTAATTGACAGCCAATCAGAAGACTGCACTTATCTCCTGACGCCCAGCGTG